CCCAAAAAATTAACTGTATAAGTGATTATTGCTCATTTTATTTTTCATACTCATATGATGGAAGATTACAGATTTTCCCTAGAACTGCAGTAGTGAAAAATTACATCGGTGGTTTGTGAACAAGAGAGTTGCTGAACTTTCTCTCGTTTCTGGGATCTAGTTTTTGTCACTCTATCAATGAAGTATAGATGAGCACAGACGTTTTGGTTTCGAAAAACCAACTCTTCAATACGATATATCACAAAATACATAGATCGCTTATATGTTTGGTCGTCTAAAACTAGACCATCATTATTCTCACCAAAGACCTGGTAAAGATGGTGAAACGTAAACATTTCTGGTATAGTTCTTAATGAGCCCCCTAAAGAAAGTCTCGATCAGTGGTGTCAGATTCGAAAAAAATTAAAGCAATTCGTCTTGAATACGACTTTCGCTGACATAAGGCAGGGTAGGAGAGTGAAATCTTTTCCGATCGCTATCGATCCTTGTGTGGGCGTTATACAAGTACTTTTGATGCACTCCTCCACCCTTATATAACCTCATTCTACGAAAACGATACGCAGAATGAAATTAAAAAAGTTATTTTCATTTCTAATAGTCAAGAAAAATTAAAGTATGTCTTTCGTTTCATCCTCATTTTGGCTTTTGGAGTGTTTAGTGGACACTACCAGTGAATTTCCATTCATTGCATCTATTAGTAATGAAAACGTGCCAGGTTTTTGAAAATAGGACACTTTCCTACCTAAATATTTTTTGGTGACGATACAATCACATAAAATAGGTACCCTTAGCAATATTGTACCATTCAAGTGCGTAGCAATATAGAGTTGTTGACGTTGATGTTCTTCCATTTATGAGAATAATGACTGTGAGGATATCCCTCAAAAATATGAGGTGTTTCCATTAAAGTAAAAATTGAGAACTATAAAAGGCGTCGGTTTTGAATTCACTTAAGAAAAGTTCGTTCATATAAAGATTTATACCTTGATCATAATGTATAGATTCGAAATGACCTAATAATGAAAACAATGGTTTTTAGGTTATCAGATATGATTGTTCAGATTGTAAATGAATGGATTGTAATTCAATTTCATAAGGTTCAGACAATCCTTGAGTATTGGTAAATACTATATTCATAATCCAATTTCAATAAAAGTAACTTATTGAAATAACAGTTTGAATTCTTCTTTATGAGGCGCGAAAATTTTCCTAGAAAGTGATGAGTACAAAATATTATTTTGAGCAACATCATTTTTAAAATTCTCTTTAAATTGAAGCAATAATTTTTACTTCTGTTATTGAAACAATATTTCAATATTCGTGGAAGGAGATTTTCCTGCTTTTTCTCTTCTTTTTTGTATCTAAGAAAATATGCATACACTGGGTTGAATAATGAAACATATTGACTATTTCGAAAT